ATTGGTCATTTGAGACTTTTTTTGTACAATATTCATGGATGATATTTTCCTAATTTGATTTATTTGGTTTAAAATTACTCATCCTAAAGCCAAGTACTTTAAAAATACCATAATTAAAGAGTAGTACTTTTATAATCAGTTTATTTCATTATATTTTGATATGGAGATCAGAACTTATTTTTTGCATTTTGACATTCTTCAGTACCTCGTTCGTTCTCTGGATAAATTAGAGTAGTTGTTTATTTATTACCCATTCACATTTCTAAGTGGTTCAGTAGTAGAAGCAGGAAGCTCTTAGTGGGATATAATGAAAAAAAATTGGAAAATGTTCTTCAAAAGTTTAATAATATTTCTGAGGTTTAAGAACTTTATTTTCTGCTGTTACCCCTTAATACAGAGGGGCTTCAAAAAGTTACAGGGGTGGGGGAGAGATGAGTGTTTCCACAAACTTTTTGAAGTCCTTTCATATATTTTGCACATTTAATTGAGAACAGAATTGAACATCTTAAACATTAAGAGTAGGATTTGGCTGTGCTCCAAAGACTGCTCTCCTTATAGAGAATTTGATCTGCTCAGTGTGAGCAGTTTGCTTTTAGCCAGAGCTATTTACGGCAGACACATGCTTTTGTATCTTGTCATAGTTATCCACAAATGGCAAAACTGGATTTGATTCGACTGGTATGCAAAACCGGCATGCTAGCAACTAGTCAGTTATGGCTCAATTTAACCCATAGCTCTGAAGAATGTTTTATCAGAACATAAAACGGATTAAAAAAAAAAACTTGTAATGTGTGGAAGTAAGTTTGAGCATAATTAGTTTGTGTTTTTTTTCATCTTGAATTATCTTCCACCTGGAAGATAGGGGTTAAGTGGCTTAAGTTTCCCTTTTAAATTATATGAATGACTTGAGATCTTTTGCACTGAACAGTTTTATTTCTGGCTGTCAGCTGTCCCTGTGAGCTATCCTGGAAGTCCTGATGGGTTTTCAGTTAGACCAAACGCTAGTAAGCAAAGCACAATACTGACTTGTACTAAACTATATGTGTAACTGATCGTGCATGGTAGAAATTTTCATTGACATATTTCCTCATCTTTCTTAAAAAAATAAGGGATTATAAATTAGCTGCAGTATCTTGTTTTTAT